ATGGGACACGGGGTTACTGGGAGGGACTGGGAATGGGACACGGGGTTACTGGGAGCACTGGGAATGGGACACGGGGTTACTGGGAGGGACTGGGAGGAACGGGGACAGTAACTGGGAATGGGAACAGGTGACATCGACAGGGACTGGGAGGAGCCGAGGGGGGAACCGGGGCAGACTGGGAGGAACTGGGATGAACCGGGGCAGACTGGGAGGAACCGGGGCAGACTGGGAGGAACCGGGGCAGACTGGGAGGAACTGGAGCAGCCCCAGGGACGCCTCCCGCTGTCCCCCCCGTCCCCCCCGTCCCCCTCACCCTGTAGGCGCCCACGGTGCTGTCGGGGTGCTCGGGCGGCACGAGGCGCTCATCGCAGAACGCCACGAGCCAACGCTCGGGCTGGGCCCCGGGCGCGGCCCTGAGGGCGGGCGGCAGCTCCCGGGCCAGCAGCGTCACCAGCGAACCCCCGGACAGCCCCAGAGTGAAGCGGCCGCTTCTCGCCACCGCCTCGGCCGCCGCCTCGGTCACCAAGCGCGCCAGGGCCGCGCCGAGCTCGACTTGGGAAGGGAAAACCGACACGGCCGCCATGATGGCGCCGGCGGGAGATGAGGAAGCAGAAGGAGGAAGTGACGTCAGCAAGGCGAGGTGGGATTGGCGGGGCGCTCACCGGAAGTTGCATCGGAGCGCGGAGCGTTGCTTAGCAACTCTCGGCCTAGCGAAGCCTCGGCCTCGCGTAGCGCCGCTGCCCGGAGGAGCGCGGGCGTTGCTTAGCAACGCGCGGCCTAACGCGGCCTAGCGAAGCCTCGGCCTCGCGTAACGCCGCTGCCCGCAGGAGCGCGGGCGTTGCTTAGCAACGCGCGGCCCAGCGAAGCCTCGGCCTCGCGTAGCGCCGCTGCCCGGAGGAGCGCGGCTGCCTCGCTGCCCTTCTCCACCACCCCGCGCACAGACCCTCCCTCGCGGTTCCCCGCAGCGCACAGCGCAGCACGCGGCACAGTCGCTGGTTTTTAATGGCCTCGCGGTCAGGCACAACCAAAGGGAAGGTTAAAAACGGCCCAAATGGGTTAATTCCGCTCTAGCGCTGGGACTCCCGTCAATAAAAATGTCTGCGGCCCCAAAGGAGACGCTAGGCGGGTTAATTAGGCACGAATTAGTCGTTAATTAGCGCTGTCAGAGTTAATTAGCGCCTGGAAGGGCGATAGAGGAGCAGCATCCATCGTTTTCTGTCAGTCCTGCTTTTCCTTGGAATTCCGCTGTTTTCCCTCAGAAAAAAGTCATCAGTTTCCTGGAAATCCCTGGGAATTCTGCTGTTTTACAGTCAAATCCTGCTTTTTTCTTCAAATTTCCTCTGTTTTCCTGGGAATTCTGCTGTTTGCCAGGAAATCGTACTATTTTCCCTGGGAATTCTCCTGTTTTATAGGAATTTCTGCTGTTTTCAAGGAAATCCAGGGGGAGCTCCCGTCAGAATTTTCAGGGTTTTGGGATTCCCGGGGTGTTTTTTTAGACTCCCAGCAGGATTTTTGGTATCCCAGGCCGTTTTCCAGGCTCAGAACCTGATTTTCCCAGCGCAGATCCTGGCACACATCTCCCAGTCCGAGGGATTTTCACATTTTTGGGATCCCAGGGAGGTTTCTCCGCGGGATTTTTGGGATTTTCGGGGTCCCAGGGAGGTTTCTCAGCGGGATTTTCACGTTTTCAGGATCCCAGGGTGGTTTTTTAGACTCCCAGCAGGATTTTCTGGATCCCAGGGTGATTTCTCAGCGGGATTTTTGGGATTTTCAGAATCCCAGGGTGGTATTTTAGACTCCCAGCAGGATTTTCAGGATCCCGGGGTGTTTTTTTCAGGCTCCCAGCAGGATTTACAGGATCCCGGGGTGTTTTTTCAGTCTCCCAGCAGGATTTTCAGGATCCCAGGGTGTTTTTTCAGTCTCCCAGCAGGATTTTCAGGATCCCAGGGTGGTTTTTCAGGCTCCCAGCAGGATTTTCAGGATCCCAGGGAGGTTTCTCAGTGGGATTTTCAGGATCCCAGGGTGTTTTTTTCAGGCTCCCAGCAGGATTTTCAGGATCCCGGGGTGGTTTTTTCAGTCTCCCAGCAGGATTTTCACGTTCCCGGGGTGGTTTTTCAGGCTCCCAGCAGGATTTTCAGTATCCCGGGGTGGTTTTTTCAGTCTCCCAGCAGGATTTTCACGTTCCCAGGGTGTTTTTTCAGGCTCCCAGCAGGATTTTCAGGATCCCGGGATGTTTTTTCAGGCTCCCAGTAGGATTTTCAGTATCCCAGGGTGTTTTTTTCAGGCTCCCAGCAGGATTTTCAGTATCCCGGTGTGTTTTTTTCAGGCTCCCAGCAGGATTTTCAGGATCCCGGTGTGTTTTTTTCAGGCTCCCAGCAGGATTTTCAGTATCCCAGGGTGTTTTTTCAGGCTCCCAGCAGGATTTACAGGATCCCAGGGTGTTTTTTCAGGCTCCCAGCAGGATTTTCAGTATCCCGGGGTGTTTTTTCAGGCTCCCATCAGGATTTTTGGTATCCCGGGGTGTTTTTTCAGGCTCCCAGCAGGATTTTCAGTATCCCAGGGTGTTTTTTCAGGCTCCCATCAGGATTTTTGGTATCCCGGGGTGTTTTTTCAGGCTCCCAGCAGGATTTTCAGTATCCCGGGGTGTTTTTTCAGGCTCCCAGCAGGATTTTCAGGATCCCAGGGAAGTTTCTCAGTGGGATTTTCACGTTCCCAGGGTGGTTTTTTCAGGCTCCCAGCAGGATTTTCACGTTCCCAGGGTGTTTTTTCAGGCTCCCAGCAGGATTTTCAGTATCCCGGGGTGTTTTTTTCAGGCTCCCAGCAGGATTTTTGGTATCCCAGGCCGTTTTCCAGGCTCAGAACCGGCTTTTCCCAGCGCAGATCTGAGCACACCTGTCCCCGTCCAGGGGCACGTAGCGCCCTCGCTGGGGGTCCAGCACGAAGAGGCGATCGGGGACCACGCGGGGGTCCCAGCCCTGCCCCCGCAGCCGCGTCTTCTGCAGCTTGAACGTCCCTGCATGGGGGGGAGGGGAAACCCGGGAATTACCCCCTTAGGCCCCGCCCACACCCCCTTAAGCCACACCCCCTTTAGGGTCCAGAACTTTAGGCCACGCCCACCCAAAAAAGCCTGGCTCCTTTAGGCCCCACCCCCTTCAGACTCGGCCTCTGGGCCGTGCAGCTTTAAGCCACGCCCATTTAGGCCACACCCCATTTAGGCCACACCCCTTTAATGCCCAATTTAGCCCCACCGCTTTAAACCCCATTCAGCCCCACCCCTTTAGGCCCTATCCCTTAAACCCCACTTTTAGGCCCCACCCCTTTAATTACATCCAGCCACACCCCACGAACCCCACCCATTCATGCCACACCCCTCCCCTTTAATTGCATCCAACCCCACCCATTTAGGCCCCGCCCCTTTATTCACCATCCAGCCACACCCCTTTAGGCCACACCCCTTTAACTCCCATTAATCCCCACCCCTTTAGGCCCTACCCCTTTAACTACATCCAGCCCCACCCCACAAACCCCACCCATTCATGCCACACCCCTTTAGGCCCCGCCCCTTTAATTCCCATTCTGCCCCACCCCTTTAGACTCCACCCCCAATGCCCCACCCCTTTAATCCCCATTCAGCTCCACCCTTTTAGGCCCCACCCCTTTAATTCCCATTCTGCCCCACCCCTTTAGGCCACACCCCTTTAATTACACCCAACCCCACCCCACAACCCCACCCATTTACACCACACCCCTTTAGGCCCCACCCCTTCAATCCCCATCCAGCCCCACCCTTTTAGGCCCCACCCCTCCATGCCACACCCCTTTAGGCCCCGCCCCCTGGGCCCCGCCCGTACCGGTGGTGTCGAGCTGTGGCAGCAGGCGGATGAAGACGGGCCGGGCGTAGGGCGGCAGCACCGGGACCAGGGCCTGGTACAGCCCCGAGGGCTCCAGCTGGGAGTGGGGGTCAGCGATGGCCGCCATGCCTGCCCGGCCCTCCACACCTGGAATGGGGAAATTTGGGTTAAAAATGGGAATTTGGGTTAAAAAATGGGGATTTGGGTTAAAAAATGGGGATTTGGGGTTAAAAAAATGGGGATTTTGGGGATTCCTAAATCCAATCCCATTCCCGGTTCAGCCCCATGCCAGCCCAGCCCTCCACACCTGGAATGGGAAAAATGGGGAATTTGGGTTAAAAAATGGGGATTTTGAGGTTAAAAATGGGGAATTTGGGGGGAAAATGGGGATTTGGGGAAAAAAAAAATGTGAATTTTGGGGGAAAAAATGGGGATTTGGGGTTATAAGATGGAAATTCTGGGTTAAAAAATGGGGATTTTGGGGATTCCTAAATCCAATCCCATTCCCAGTTCAGCCCCATGCCTGCCCGGCCCTCCACACCTGGAATGGGGAAAAAATGGGCATTTTGGGTTAAAAGATGGGGATTTTGGGTTAAAAATGGGGATTTTGGGTTAAAAAATGGGAATTTGGGGTAAAAAAAAGGAAATTTTGTGTTAAAAAATGGGAATTTTGGAGTTAAAACCAGGAATTATTGGGGTTTCCAAAATCCCAACCCCACAATCGCAATTTTTGGCTCCATTTTCCCTGCATTTCACCCATTCCCCACTCCCCCTTTTCCACCCCGCTAAAATCTGATTTTCCCTGCCTGGATTCTCCCCCAAAATCCCAAATTTTCCCCCCAATATCCCAAATTTTCCCCAAATATCCCAAATTTTCCCCAAATATCCCAAATTTTCCCCCCAAAATCCCAACTTTTCCTCCCCAACATCCCAAATTTCCCCCAAATATCCCAGATTTCCCTCCCAATATTCCAAATTTCTCCCAAAATCCCAACTTTTCCCCCCAAAATATCTCAGATTTCCCCCAAATATCCCAAATTTTCCCCAAAACCCCAAATTTCCCCCAATATCTTAAATTTCACCCCATTATCCCAAATTTCCCCTCCAAAATCTTAAATTTCCCCCAAAATCCCAACTTTTCCTCCCCAAATATCCCAACTTTTCCCCAAAATATCCCAAATTTTCCCCCCAATATCCCAAATTTCCCCCCAATATCCCAAATTTTCCCCAAAATATCCCAAATTTTCCCCAAAATACCCCAACTTTTCCCCCCAATATCCCAACTTTTCCCCCCAATATCCCAAATTTCCCCCAAATATCCCAAATTTTCCGAATATCCCAAATTTCCCCCCAAAATTTTCTTTTTTTTTTCCCACCAATTCCCTCTCACCCCAACCCCTCCCCCGGGATCTCCTTTATTCCCACCCGGATTTTTCCAGGAATTTTTCCTGCACCTTCCTCTCTTTCCTCCCCCTCTTTTTTTTCCCCCCGTTTTCCCAAATTTTTTTTTTTAATTTTTTTTTTTTTTTTTTGGGATTCACCGGGAATTTCCACGCCGTAAACGACGACGTCGGCCTGGCCCAGGAGGCGGCTCAGGGCGGCCTCGACCTCGCTGCAGGAAACGTTTTCCCCGCGCCAGCGGAACGAGTCCCCGCCCCGCTCCCGGAAATACAAATAGCCCAGATCGTCCATCACCAGGACATCACCTGGAAACGGGAAAAATCGGGGAAGAATTGGAAAAAAATCCGGGGGAATTTGAAAGAAAATTGTAGGAAAAAATCACCAAAAATCGCCGAAAAATGAAAAAAAAATTCCCCGAAAAATCGTGATAGCCCAGCTCGTCCATCACCAGGACGTCTCCTGGAAACGGGAGAAATCGGGGAAAAATTGGAAAAAAATCCATGGGAATTTAAAAAAAAAATTGTAGAAAAAATTCCCAAAAAATTCACAAAAAAATTCCCAAAAAATTCAAAAGAAATTAAAAAAAAATTGCCCGAAAAATCGTGATATCCCAGCTCGTCCATCACCAGGACGTCTCCTGGAAACGGGAGAAATCGGGGAAAAATTGGAAAAAAATCCGGGGGAATTGGAAAAAAAATTGTAGGAAAAAATCCGGAAAAATTCACAAAAAATTCCCCAAAAATTCAAAAAAAATTCCCAAAAAATAAAAAAAAAAATTGCCCGAAAAATCGTGATAGCCCAGATCATCCATCACCAGCACGTCCCCTGGAAACGGGAGACATCGGGGAAAAATTGGAAAAAAATCCGGGGGAATTAAAAAAAAAATTTATAGAAAAAATCCAAAAAAATTCCCCAAAAATTAAAAAAAAATTCCCAAAAAATAAAAAAAGAAATTGCCCGAAAAATCGTGATATCCCAGCTCGTCCATCACCAGGACGTCACCTGGAAATGGGAGAAATCGGGGAAAAATTGGAAAAAAATCCGGGGGAATTTGAAAAAAATTTGTAGGAAAAAATCACCAAAAAATTAAAAAAAACTTTAAAAAAAATTGCCCGAAAAATCGTGATAGCCCAGCTCGTCCATCACCAGAACGTCACCTGGAAACGGGAGAAATCGGGGAAAAATTGGAAAAAAATCCGGGGGATTTGAAAAAAAAATTGTAGAAAAATTCCCAAAAAATTCACCAAAAATTTTTTAAAAATTCTCCAAAAATTCACCCAAAATTCCCCCAAAAATTCGTGATATCCCAGCTCGTCCATCACCAGGACGTCACCTGGAAATGGGAAAAATCGGGGAAAAATTGGAAAAAAATCCGGGGAATTTAAAAAAAAAATCCCCCCAAATTCCCCGAAAATTGAAAAAAAAAATTCCCCAAAAATTTCTCAAAATTCCCCCCAAAATCCCGAATTTACAGGTAGCCCACCTCGTCCATCACCAGGACGTCTCCTGGAAACGGGAGAAATCGGGGAAAAATTGGAAAAAAATCCATGGGAATTTAAAATAAAAATTGTAGAAAAATTCCGGAAAAATTCACAAAAAATTCCCAAAAAACTTCTCCAAAAATTCACCCAAAATTCCCCGAAAAATCGTGATATCCCAGCTCGTCCATCACCAGGACGTCCCCTGGAAACGGGAAAAATTCCAGGAAAATCATGGAAAAATCCCGGGGAAATTTAAAAAAAATTCCCCCAAAATCCGGGAAAAATTCCCCCAAAAAATCCTGTGGTTGATTCCCAAAATCTTTGGGGTGTCCCATGGTGGAAAATCCTGGGATTTGGGGTCAGGAATTTTGGGATTTGGGGTCAGGAATTTTGGGATTTGAAATTTTGGGATTTGGGGTGTGGAATTTTGGGATTTGAAATTTTGGGATTTGGGGCGTGGAATTTTGGGATTTAGGGTGTGGAATTTTGGGATTTGGAGTCAGGAATTTTGGGATTTAAGGTGAGGAATTTAGGGATTGCTCACCTGACAGGTAACCTGGTCCCCCCTGGCCGTGTCTGGGGTGTGAATTTTGGGATTTGGGGTCAATAATTTTGGGATTGCTCACCTGACAGGTAACCTGGTCCCCCCTGGCCGTGTTTGGGGTGTGGAATTTAGGGATTTGGGGTGTGAATTTTGGGATTTAAGGTCAATAATTTTGGGATTTCTCACCTGACAGGTAACCTGGTCCCCCCTGGCCATGTGTGGGGTGTGGAATTTTGGGATTTGGGGTGTGAATTTAGGGATTTGGGGTCAGGAATTTTGGGATTTCTCACCTGACAGGTAGGCCTGGTCCCCCCTGGCCATGTTTAGGGCGTGAATTTTGGGATTTGGGGTCAATAATTTTGGGATTTCTCACCTGACAGGTAACCTGGTCCCCCCTGGCCATGTCTGGGGTGTGAATTTTGGGATTTGGGGTGTGAATTTAGGGATTTCTCACCTGACAGGTAGGCCTGGTCCCCCCTGGCCATGTCTGGGGTGTGAATTTTGGGATTTGGGGTGTGAATTTTGGGATTTCTCACCTGACAGGTAGGCCTGGTCCCCCCTGGCCATGTTTAGGGTCTGGAATTTAGGGATTTGGGGTGTGAATTTAGGGATTTCTCACCTGACAGGTAACCTGGTCCCCCCTGGCCATGTCTGGGGTGTGAATTTAGGGATTTGGGGTGTGAATTTTGGGATTTGGGGTCAGGAATTTTGGGATTTAAGGCCAATAATTTAGGGATTTCTCACCTGACAGGTAGGCCTGGTCCCCCCTGGCCATGTTTTGGGGTGTGAATTTTGGGATTTCTCACCTGACAGGTAACCTGGTCCCCCCTGGCCGTGTCTGGGGTGTGAATTTAGGGATTTCTCACCTGACAGGTAGGCCTGGTCCCCCCTGGCCGTGTTTGGGGTGTGGAATTTAGGGATTTAAGGCCAATAATTTAGGGATTTCTCACCTGACAGGTAGGCCTGGTCCCCCCTGGCCGTGTTTGGGGTGTGAATTTAGGGATTTGGGGTCAATAATTTAGGGATTTCTCACCTGACAGGTAGGCCTGGTCCCCCCTGGCCATGTCTGGGGTGTGAATTTAGGGATTTCTCACCTGACAGGTAGGCCTGGTCCCCCCTGGCCAGGACGTCGCGGGCGATTTTGCTGCGCGTGGCGCCGGCGCTGACGTAGCCGTCGAATCGGCGCAGGGGATCCCGCTGGTCAATGCGGCCAACGAGCAAACCTGGCTCACCTGGAACATGGGAATGGCACCCCAAAATCCATGGGAAACTGGGAATGGGGTCAGTGAATAAACCAGCAAGCCTGGCTCACCTGGAACCATCCCAAAATCCATGGGAAACTGGGAATGGGGTCACTGAATAAACCAGCAAGCCTGGCTCACCTGGAACATGGGAAT